TATAGTGGTTGTCTGAAGTCAAGCTCATATCCTTCTAATCGTACTCTGTGACACTTGCAGTCACTTTGGAACAGCTTATTGTGTATGACCAGTTTTTAATCAATAAGTTGCTCTTCACTTCATGGAAATGCCATAGTGGCTCTGTTGAGGTTCTGGTACGTTTTACTATCAATCCAAATTTCTTTACACACTATCGTTGTTCAAAATATTAAGAAACTGCATATATTTCACTTTTACATACCTCCAAGATGTGCATACAAAATTACACCACATACCCAGTCATCTGGCACTTGTTTTACATAAACTTGAGAGTGCCATTGATTTTATTTAACAACAGTAGTTGTGCTTGTCTTTACTAAAAAACAGATCACTTCTTAAACGTTTTGAGCAGTGAACATGATTACCCAGCTTCAGACAAGTTCAATGATTAGCATCACTTCATTTTTAACATCAGCATGGTATAATGATAATTGTGAGGTGCTGCAGATTCAAAAGTTCTGTAGTTCAAGCCATGATTTACTGCTGAAAAAACTCCAGTTTCAACTGTAGAAGAATTATAACTATGCCAGTCAATTCCATATGCTGTGGGTGTTGCCGACAGCATTCTTTCCCTGGTCAGTAGTTTTAAATTAGGAGTGACCATACCTTTGAGTCTCTAGCCTTCCTGTTTATCCAATAATTGCATATGGTGTTTTTCAGGTTGAAAATACTTTTTATTTTTCTTGTGATTTGTACATTACATATATAGCCGTTAATTAAGGAAACTACAATAATTAGAAAAGCTTTCCGTATTAGAATTTTTTTTACACTGCTGCTTACCCCCTTTTTTCTTATATAATACCTGAGATTTGCTTAGTAACACAATGAAATGTATATTAAAATATTTTGTAAAGAAATATTTCTTGAGCTTGTACAACTTCCAAATGGTTAAGTAATCTAAGAGATCTTATATGTATTTCTCCACTTTTTTGAGAGAAACTGGCTTGTTACAAATTGTTGTTACTCCTGCAGTGATGTACGTACATATACAGGAATATATATAAAGAATTCAAAACAATGTTTTCTTACTTTGTCCAGATGAAAACAATCAAAAGAAATTATCTGAATTTGTTAATCTGATTTATCAATTTCCAATTAGTTTTGATTTGCTTAAGATGTGTTAATATATAGTGTTGATTTTTTTAATGTCTCAAAAATGAACTATGAAAAATAATATAATACAAATGTAAACAAATTCTACTTTGAACTTTAGGGGAATCAAATTATTTGGTTGTTTCTATCTCACACTCAAACTACAACTGTATTTTTTGCCTTGTAAAGTTCTAGTAAATTGACTTTGTAGAATGTTTAATTTTAGTTTTATGGTTGCACAACATCACCATTCAACTTACCTTCACATGAAAAAAACATTTCAAAAGATCTTTTAATTTTTCTGTATAGTAGAGTAGAAAGAATATTACATATACTTGTATAACTTCTTTTAATTATAATTGACCAACATTTACGATTCATCAAGCAGAGATTCAGAAGTTTTTCTACGTTTCACTAGAAGTGTCATGAAACACAGAAAACTACTATCTTGCAATTAATAAAAAGATTGTGTTAATAAAAATTTCAACAAGTATCACACATCATATCCATTTGCTCAAAACTTCAAACCTTAATACTCCATTCAGCATGTTCAAGTTTGCCTGACATCTTTCAAGTTTTGAGGATAAAGGGAGCAAACTTGTTTTTTTTCTTGGTATAACTAAAATACTTGATGGCAGGTTCATTAACAGCATTTCCATTTCTTTTCACTTACAAGGTTTAGGATAACATCATAGTTACATGTCATTTTATAAGTTTAACAGAATGATTATTATCACCATAAACTTTTCTTGCCACAAAAAATGTTCTGCTTTTGTTAGTATGACAAATTATACCTCTATTACGCATCTGAGTTGTTCAATATACTATGTATGACATGGTAAACCTCAGATATTCCAAAAAGAATTGGTTAGAAACTTGTCAGTTCATTGAAGTGTCTTGGCATGATTTAAATATGTCATGCTTATTTATACAAACCTTAAGTACTGTTCTTATATGTAGCTTATGAGCTACAGGTGTTAAGTTTATGTATAGTCATACTATTCTTCCCACAGGTTGAAATCCTCTTGCCACCAAATATGATTATTTTTGTTTCAGAGACTATCTGCCACCATTCCTAATTTTGAACTTCTCACCAGAAAGAAGAAACCAGCTAGCAGCACCCACTACCAACTCTTATGCTACTCTTTTACCAGTTAATAATGGGATGGATAGATTGACATTTTAATAGCCCTACATCTGAAACTTCAAACATGTTTGGAAGTACCCGATATTATATCTGCAACCCTTAATTTGTAAAGCAACCACTCTAATCACTGGGCCACGGCATTATAATGTTATGGTCAATCAAATTCGTTGGTAAAGAGTAGCCCTAGAATTGGCAACGAGTGTTGCTGGCAGGTTTCTTTCCCACTGGTTGGCAGCCCAAAATTAGGGATAGTGGTAGATAGCCTTAGTAGCTTTGCCATAACTCAAAAACAAATATAATGCCCACACAGCTGAAAGAGTTCGCTCTGGCGAATGTTTGGTGGCAATGGGAATCGAACCTGTGACACTTGAATCACGATATACTTCAAATATAAATGTACTAATCAATTTTTAATGAATAATAACAAAACTAATAAATTAATATAGCATTAAAATTTGAAAGTATCAGTCATTTTATTTTTGGTATCAAAACAGAAACAATATATATAAATTTTCTTCTACATTGTACTTTTATTGTATAGAATAATATTAGAAAAACATAGTGATTAATTATGTATAAATAAACTGCAGTTACAACATAGCCTTCATAATGTGAAATGAAAAATAAACATAAGGACAGAGACTAATAATGGCTGGAGACGGCTTAAATGGGTAATGAAGAAAA